CCACTTGAGCCACCGCAGCTCCACGGTTTGCTGCATAGTTGATTTGAATGTTAACTTCATTGTTAAACTTCTGTTTATTCTTGCGTTACTGACGATTTTGATGTGACTTTGTAACCCGCCCTGAGCCCGGTTGTAGGGAGAAATCGACATAAATAAATAAATAAAACAACATTTAAAAAAAACAGTGATGACTTTGGGTCTCAGCTCCGTGACTGAAGTTATTAAAAGCACTTGATGCATGGGCCGTGATCACATGGGCAGTTTGGCCCGACATAGCCGCTCCTCCCCTCCGGTTGAAATGGGCGCAGTCAGACAGCCACATCTGTCCGGTGTTCCCCAGACATACTTATCCCATCATAGGACAACATGGAGCCGGGTTAAAAAGGCACCACATCACAAGTGGTGTTTTCGGTTTCCCACACAGTCATCGCGCATGGCCGGATGTCTGAACGGGGGCAGAGCGCGCACAGAATGGATTTGTGCAGATCCATTCTGCCGCTAGGAAGGGTTTTTTAAATATATATATATATTGCCCAAATGCGCATGTGCACGCATGCGCATGAGCGCGTGAGCGCATACACATGCACATGAGCGCATACACATGCACATGAATTTTGAGGGAAAAAAATTTGGCACCGCGCTCCGTGGCTGAGGGCTCTGCAATAATCCGGATGCTTTACCACAGGATGTCTCCGTGGGGAACGCGCAGCAGGGTGTGCTGTGCGGCTGATATGCCCCGCAACACTTTCAACCGGTTCAATGAGAGGTGGCGCTATATTGCGCCGAGCCATCAGTATGGCCATGGCCATGCTGTGCTCTATGATTACTGTGCTCAGATGGCTTCTTGGTGGCTGCTGCAGTGGCGTCCTTGTTGCTGCCACGTTAGGGGGTGGGAGCCCTCTTTGGCCCAAAGTTGGGAAGGAAGCTCTAGACTGGAGGAAGAGCCCCAGAATAGGGACATTCTAGAACTCTCCTGTGCTCTAGATGGAAGGTCTAGAGCTGGGAGGGACAAGGAGCCAAGCAAGGGAGCAAAGGGCGTGAAGGGGTCCCCCCGGGTGTTTTGGAGCACAAGGCCGATCTAGAAGGGAGTGCTGAAGACACAGGTGTTCCAGGGGAGACAGCCCATCGCACCCACCTGCAGCTCCTTCAGTTTCTTCTGCAGCTGCAACCCCAGGGCCTGCTCGTCTTCGATTTTGCTATTCTGTTGGTTGATGTCAAACTCCTTCCTGCCAAGGGAATTTCAAGGAATCACCAACCTCCCCTTTCTCTCTGCTGGGCGGTTTCCCCGCTCCACGGTCAGAAGGAGAGGGCGAGAAACCAAATCCCGCAGAAAGAAAGGGATCAGCAGCAAAAAGCCTCCACTGGCTTGCAGGGACAGACCTTCACCAGTCTTCACCTCCCTCCTCCCCCTTTTAAATTGTAATATCCTTGGGGCTGGGACCTGATTTTTGTTCTCTGTAAAGCACAGTGGGCATTGAGGAGAAGAAGAAGAAGGGATTGGATTGATACCCCCGCCCTTCTCTACCCAAAGGAGTCTCAAAGCGGCTTACAGACTCCTTTCCCTTCCCCTCCCCGCAACAGGCACCCTGTGGAGGTCGGTGGGGCAGAGAGAGCTCTGGACAGAAAGGGCTCTTTTTCAAGAACAGCTCTGACAGAGCTACAGCTTGCCCAAGGTCATCCAGCAGCTGCGAGTGGAGGAGTGGGGAATCAAACCCGGGTTCTCCCAGATTAGAGTCCGCGCACTTCACCACGACACCCAAATGGTCCATGATATTGAGGAATGCTATTCATATTAGCGATCTCCAACATAACACCCATTGATACCTTTCCTGGCTCTCACCATGTGTTTTGAGAAAATGGGTGGGGCCAGGTAGGTCTTTCACCCAGCAAGGCTTCTGATTGGCCACTGGAGATTTGATTGGCTGTGCAAATTTTGTTTACAAGTTGCTTTGGCGGCCACCACCACCACCACCATACAAGGATCTTCCCTGTGTGACTGAAGGTATTTTGTAGCTGGCTCTGCCTGCTGCGGCAGCCATTCTGTGGCTGTGGCCACTGTGCTGTGCCAGAATTCCAAAAGTGGCTGCAGGTTCAAAACGGCTGGAGGAACCCCTGATTTAAACGAACAGACAAGCATCTTCTGTCTGCCCCCTCCCTTTCCAGACTCCCTCCGCAGTCAAACCCGGGCCCTCTGCCCCTTGGCTCTTCCTGCGCTCCTCTGCGCCCTCAGCTCCCCCTTCCACAAGGGGCACCGGGAAGAGGAACCCCCTACTTTTTCAGCTTGTCTTCCAGCTGCTGCTTGTCGTTCTCGAGGTCCATGATGTTCTCCTGAGCCAGCTTGAAGTCTCCTTCGAGCTTCCTCTTGACCCGTTCCAGGTCCATCCGGATCTTCCTTTCCTGCTCCAGGGAGCCCTCCAGCTGTTATCGGAACATAATAAACAGAGCGTCATTCGCAGACGCTTTCTCTCCAGCCGCCGCCTGCGGAACGTGCCTCCCAAGTAGGGCATTCAGGATGTCGATCCCTGCAGGTCACTGGTAGGCCCAGAGGTCATTTCCTGCAGGAGCGCACAGGAGCGGAGCTCCGGCAGTAAAGAGCCCAGGGGGCGGGCACATGCAACAAGCCCCACCCCCTGCTCCCAGCAGCCCTCAGTCAGAGCAAGAAGCAGCCAGGTAAGTTGCAGAGCTCCCCCCCTTGCCCCCCGGCCCAAAACAGTCCAGTGGCACCTTTAAGACCAAGTTTTATTCAGGTACAAGCTCTCCCTCCTCTGTGAGGGCAGATCTGCACGTTTCCCCCCCCCCAATAGCTAGCAATCCAAAACAGTCCAGTGGAGCCTGAGCAACAAGCCCCACCCTCTGCTCCCAGCAGCCCTCAGTCAGAGCAAGAGGCAGCCAGGTGAGTTGCAGAGTCCCCCCGGTCCAAAACAGTCCAGTGGCACCTTTAAGACCAAGTTTTATTCAGGTACAAGCTCTCCCTCCTCTGTGAGGGCAGATCTGCACGTTCCCCCCCCCAATAGCTAGCAATCCAAAACAGTCCAGTGGAGCCTGAGCAACAAGCCCCACCCCCTGCTCCCAGCAGCCCTCAGTCAGAGCAAGAAGCAGCCAGGTGAGTTGCAGAGCCCCCCCGGTCCAAAACAGTCCAGTGGCACCTTTAAGACCAAGTTTTATTCAGGTACAAGCTCTCCCTCCTCTGTGAGGACAGATCTGCACGTCCAGCACAGTCCAGTGGAGCCTGAGCGGTGGGTGTTGCCTTCTGACACGCTTCCGGTGATGTCAGGGGGTGTGGCATATGCAAATAAGTCATGCTAATGAGTTATGCGAATGAGCTCCTGCACCTCTTTTTCTACGAAACGACCCCTGGGTAGACCCCATCCCTAACGTGCAGAAGACCACCTGCTAAAAGGGTATCTGGTGGCAGGGCCCTGACCTGGAGGGCCCAGGCTAGAGTGATCCTGTCAGATCTCGGAAGCTAAGCAGGGTCGGCCCCGGTTAGTCCTTGGATGGGAGACCACCAAAGAAATCCAGCGTTGCTTCACAGAGGCAGGTCATGGCCACCCACCTCTGAATGCCTCTGGCCTTGACCTGGGTGGCCCACGCTAGCCCGCTCTCATCAGACCTCGGAAGCTTAGCAGAGCTGGCCCTGGTTAGTATTTGGATGGACGTCCACCAAGGAAGTCCCGGGTCGCTACACAGAGGCAGGCAACGGCCACCCACCTCTGCACCTCCCTTGCCTTGAAAACCCCTTGAGGGGTGACATCATCGAGGTTTACAAGATTATGCCTGGGATAGAGCAGGTAGAGGAAGAAGTCCTTTTCTCCCTTTCTCACAATCCGAGAACTGGTGGGCACTCCATGGAATTGATGAGCAATCAGGGTAGACCGGATAAAAGCAGGGCTATTTTTTTTTTTGGAGGAAATGGAACCCGACACAGAGAGATTTTACTTTTTATTCCAATAGACATTGCTCTTTTTCCAGAATTGATATGATTTGGATGTCTGAAGAATTGTCAATGAAAACACACAAAATTGAAATTTTGCCAAAGTGTAACTCAGACCACAATCCTGTTGTATGGATCTCTGTAGAAAAGAATAAATCCTTCCTTTGGAGAATAAATTAAGACCTGTTGGATAAAAAAGAGGTAACTGAAATGCTGAAGGAAGAAACAAAGCAATTTTTCCAACAAAACTTAAATAAAGAGACCCCAATACAGGTTGTGTGGGATGCCTACAAAGCGGTGATGAGAGGGATTCTCATCTCACAAAACGTGAAGCAAAAAAAGCAAAAACTTCAAAAACAAGCGGAAGTGTTGGAAAAAATATCCCAAAAAGAGAAAGAATTAAAAAAGAAACCTGGGAAAAAGAAAATTATTAAAGAATTACAGTTGCTGAGAGAACAACTGAATGAAACGTTGAATCAGGAACTCTATTGGAATTTAAAGAAGTTACAACAAAAATCCTTTGAGGGAGCAAATAAACCGGGAAAATATCTAGCTTGGCAACTTAAGGCTAGAAAAGAAAGAAGAATGAT